AACAAAGCATGCGTAATCTATGTTGAAATTCGAACTTTGACTAACCATTGTGGAAATTTTGGTTGTGGAAGATTTTCTAATATGGCCCCAAACATCGTGTACCATGAGGTGCTTTGCTTTTGGAAATAACAATCATGACCATGTAACCTAAATAAAATTTAAAGTTACAGTAATTTAAGCTATATGTACTGAGGATTTTTAGAGAAGAAATGTGTCTGAGCAACTGAAATTTCCTCCCGCTTCAGAATTTGGACTCACAAAGGTACGAAATTGATTTGAAACAATTTTGTTTCGGGAACGGGGATTAGAAGATAACTAACATGAATCTAAGAGTAAACCACAAATGAATCTTAGCTTGTTGCAGATAATTGAAAATAATAGAGAAAGGGAAAAGGGAGGACAAGGAGATGGAATTCTGGTCATCCTAATTTGAAATTTACAGTAACAAATCCGAGTTTTCAAGTGGAAGAACAAACGAGTAAAAGGCTGCCATAAAGAGAACACATAAAGGAGGGGGATTCGTGAGTTTCAAAAGGAAGAAGATAGATGTTCGGTTAAGGAGAAAATAGTAACCGATGCCCCCTTTTAAACTTTGCAATAACCTTTCCCTTTTAATTTTGTAATTACCATCCTATAAATTGTAATTGATGTACTTTAAATTTCGTAGTAATTGTTCTTGAGTTTAAATTTTGGGATTTATATTTTTTAAAAAATCATTATAAATTTTATAATTATCATTTATTTAATTTTTGTAATGGTTACTTTTAAATTTAAATTTCCTCAAATATATAAATAAGATTCTAATTAAATTATTTTTCAATCAAGTTCACATTTAAAGTTATAAAAAAATTTAAGATATTTTACATTTCTAAACTTAATAGGTAAAATAGCTCTTTTAAAATATATAAATCAAATATTTCACCAAATAATTTTAACCTAACACATACACCATCTAAGTGTACAGGTGCTAATTTAAGTCTATTAGGACTTAATGGAGGAGACAACAAAAAGTAAGACACTAACTGTGGTGGATGAAATGAACCATAACTGCTCACTTTTCCATATTCTTAAGGTATTATTTGATGTGAACAAAGATTTTGGATATTGTTTGTATGTTTCTTAAAAAGTATATGGATTTTATATGATGCTAAACCTTTTTTTTAAATAATAATAATAAGTTACACTATCGGATTTCTTCTGAAGGTTCGAGTCTAATTTCAATTGACCGTGGGGTTTTAGGGCTTAGATGCACGTTTTTTTTTCGTTTTGGGGCTTACAAGGGAATATGGGATAAGCTGGAGGGCTTAATCTTGTGTTTTGCCTTCCTTCTTTCCCGAATATCAACTGAGATTTCCTTTTGTATTGATTCTCCATCAATTCTATCCCATAATGCACAAACCTCCCCACATTTTACCCTCCACCAAAATCCCCTCCATTTTCTCTTTCCATCATTCCATCTCTACCCCCAATCCCCACCAGAAGCAACTCTCCCTCCAGACCCATGTCAGCCCCGTTAATACAATCAAGACGTCGGGATATTTTTCCGCAATTGGCTGGGCGATTGAGGAGGAAGAGGAGTACCGGAATTGATGTGGAAGGGTACTTCGTCGAAGCGGTTTCTATTGGAGACAATGAAACTTGTGTCATAATTCCTGAATTGAAGTCTGGTTTCGATATTGGGA